TCTCTGTGTGTGTGTGTGTGTGTGTGTGTGTGTGTGTGTGTGTGTGTGTGTGTGTGTGTGTGTGTGTGTGTGTGTGGAAACATCTGCACTTTGCAGCACTTCTACAGCGAGGACCGACTCTGCATGAAATCTCTCTCAATACTTGGAGCATGCACAGAATGCCTGCAAATACGTATTTGGTTAATGTCCCCTCAGTGAAGGAGTTCTCACTCTATTGCCCCTCCCCCGAGAATAGAATGTGCCCTTGTATGCGATGCACAGAAGAAGAAAGAAAAACGAGAGATAAACAAAAACCAGCTGTGTGTCACAGTCATCCGGAATACGCATGACGTACTGAAAAGGCATCCTGCATTGGGTATACAAAAAACAAAACTCGTGGGTTGCGAGGTGCAGGCCCCAGGGATCCTGAAAGTAGTAGTTTTGAGATAGACTCACAATACCAATGGATGGGTCTAGCTCAGTTGTCACACCCATGAACTGTTGATGCACAGACTCCAGTTCGAATCCCAAGAAACTCACTGACTCAGATGAGTAAATAAATCTACAGTTAGTAATTACTAATTACCTGGGCCGGTCAGTTGAAACTTGAAGGTGATATCTCAAACAAGGAGAGATATACTCACAAACAGAGGATCTGTGGTGCCTCCACCTTAGGATCTGGCATTTAGGGGTCGCATAAGATCCCCTGGGGCGGTCAGTTGGCAGGAGCTATGTAGCATTTCGAATGCACATAAGATATACTCCCAGGCTCTGAGGGTCAAGAATCTCGAACAAGAAGAGACGTACTCACAAACAGAGGATAAAATTAAAAAAAAAAAAAAAAAAAAAAAAAAAAAAAAAAAAGGATCTGTGGTGCCGGTCACATAAGATCCCCTGGGACGGACAGTTGGCAAGAGCCATCTAGCATTTGGAATGCACAGAAGATATAGTCACAGGTTATGAGGGGTCAAGCCCCACTGGTCATATGTTTGCAGAAGCTCTCATGAACCTGCCCAGGTTCATGCTCACTGTGCATCAATATAATAACACCAGGTGGCTGAACGTAGTTTGAAGAAGGTAATCACAACAGGTCACCTGAACCTACTGCTACATTTGCAGAATGTAACAACTGGTGGCCTGAATCTATGCTATGTTTGCAGGAGGTAGCAAAGAATCATTGCCAGTTCTGTGGGCAAATTCATGTGTCTGCTGATGGATAAAACACCAGCCCATCCTGACCCTCCATCTAAGTAATGTGCGGGCGTGCATGTCTCAAATCTAGTGACTGTTATCTAACAGCCAGATTCTCCTGCCAGTGTAGACCCCCGCTGGATTATATCTTCTTCTTGTTCTTCTTGTTGTTCTTCTTCTTCTTCTTTTTTTTTTTTTTTTTCTTTTTTTCTTTTTTTTTTTCCCATCGAGTAAGTGCTTCGAATTCTTCTAGGCAAGTCTTTGGGGCTACTATATATCGTCAAACAGAGCTGCCCCGTAAACCGTAGTAGGCAGAGCGGGAGGGAGAAGAGGGAGAAGAGGACAACAAACGAGCGGCTGTGACAAACTGTTTTGTCGGAGACTCGGCGTTGCTATGCATATAGAAATTCCAACGTGGCGGTTGCCTGGGAGTGCCTTTGCCACTCACTGATCATTTCTCCCCAAAAAAAAA